TAGCTGTGTGTGTATGTGTGTGTGTGTGTGTGTGTGAGAGAGAGAGAGAGAGAGAAGGAGCGAGAGCACGCGCACGCTGGACTAGGCTGGTGGTGCTGACTTGTCCTCGGCCTATTTCCTGAGACAAAGGACCCAGAGGTCGCCCTCCCGAGTGAAGCCTTGGTCCTGCTGTGGAAATGCAGGCGTGTCCCAGGGAGTCCCCGGACGAAAGAGCTGCCCTCCCCTTCATGGCCCTGCTGAGGTGGCTGGGGCGTGAGTGGGCATCACTGCTCACCAGAGTGCAGAGGAGCGAAGATCTGAGAGGGAAGGTCGGAGACGAGGGGTGGGGGAGGGAGGAGGAGGCTTCCTGGCTCTGAGAGTAGCTGTGCAGTCCCACCGTCGAGTGATCTGGCCTCCGGCATGGCAGTGGGCACCCGGTGCTCCCGGGTAATGCCCAGGCAGGAGGCGGCAGGCCTGGTGAGACCTCAGCCGTGGAGCACAGGGGATTGGCCGCGGCACTGTGGGTGCTGTGACCCCGGGTGGGAGGAGGAGGCTGTCGCCCCTCATTTCCTTTAGGGCAAGGGCCTGAGCAGAGCTCAGAGGTGGAGCCTACCTTGTCCGGGGCCTGGACTTGGTGGTGGGAAGGCTGGAGATGGCCTCCATGTGTCTTGGCCCGGCGTTACCGGGAGTCCCGAGCCAGCAGGGAAACCGCCCTGTATCCCCCAGTGAGGGTCCTGCTAATGTTTGCTCAGCCAGTGCAGCACTGGGCATCTGCCTGCTGCTGGGGGCGTGAGAGGACCAGCTGAGGGCAGCCGAGAACCTGCTCCTCACCCACCGGAGGCTTCTGTTTCCCCCATTATTGAGGACCCCCACTCAGGCCAGCGGTGAGGACATAGGTGGAGAGGGAGATAGCATCATCCTGGGAGGAGACCCAGCCTGGTGGCCGTCCACTTAGGCTTGGGGATGAGTGTGGAGGGTAGGGTGCCAGCTTAGGCCTGGAGGCCACTGCACAGGGGGAGCACAGTGGGTGGCGTTCTGGCTTTGTGCCTGGAGAGGGGCTCCAGTGTGGACGCCTGGTGTCAGGCTCCCTCCCAGTGGAGGGGGGGGGGTCACCTGGAGCGTCGCCTTCAGTGCAGGGAGCTTTACACAGGAGGCCTCCTCGCCCTCAGGGCCTTCCCTGCCTCAGAAGCCTGGCTGGCAGCTTCGGACACCCAAAGTCCCACTCTCAGAGTCTGTGTAATTTCTCACCCTCTGCATGCAGGGGGCGTGGGCGCCTCTGGGGCACCCAGACTGAGACAGCGTCACCTGCTTGCTTTTTCTGGTTTCCTGCCCGGGGAAGGCCGTGCGCGTTTCTGGACCTCACAGTGTGACTTGGAGGACATCAGATCCCCTTGGCGTCCTCAGTGTTGGAAGTGCTTTGCCGAGGGAGCAGTGAGGCGTCACCTGAACTCTGCACATGTCCAGGGATGACACTGATGTTTTGGGGAAGCCATTTTAAAGCATTACCCCGGTCTCTTTTCTTCCAAGCGGACGTTTATCCTGGCATCAGACCACATTACGATATTGAGGTAGGAAATGCAAGTGTGCCCAGAATCGCTGCCATCGCTCTGGCTCAGGTTCCCACGTCTCCACGTCTGTGGGCACCGCCGGCCCACGCGGGGTCCACAAGGACCCCTCTTACAGACGGTGCTCGGGTAGCGGCTGGTCCTGCCCTGCGGCCGGAGCGGAGTCTGCGCACGGCCCAGCTGCTCAGGTCTGCACTCTGCGCCGGTGGGAGACCTGGAGGGAAAACGAAGCCAGCCCACACGGGCCGAGGCGGGAGCCTAGCTGGAGGCGCCTGGCCCCCCTGTCTCTCCCAGGTCTTCCTCAGGGACCAGGCGTCCCTTCTGTCAGAGTCCTAGGCCCCTGGGCACCTCCCCCACGGAGGCTCTGAGCCGCTGTTGCAGGGCTGGGCACAGCTTCCTGGGCGGTCCCCCTGGAGCCTTTGTTTTCCACGTGTGTCCGGGTTCAGGCCCGGCCTGGGGTCATTCTGCCTCATGGGGTGTGTCAGTCCTTGACCTTCACCCAAGCTCTGAGCGCCCCTTCAGGATAACCCCGAGGCCGAGCCCCACTCCTCAGGCCCTGGGTCTCCCCAGTTCTGTCATGGAGCCATCCTGCACCTCTGTGCTGCCTGGAGGTGGCTGGCTCCCGGGGGTGGGGATGGCCTGGACTCAGGCCAGGGAGCAGCTTGCGAATGTGGGGACCACGAGACCTGATAACATGTGACCTGCTGGTGTCCCCTTGATGCGGCCACAGAGGCACTGTGTTCCCCACCTCCTGTGCCAGGCAGACGTCTGTGTCCTGTTCGCCAGTCTGTGCCTCGGATGTGGGTGATGCGCCTGGGAACGTGCTGCCTGTGGCCACGCTGACTATGCCGGTCCACTCACTGGCCTCGGAGGATGGCCAGCGGCCTCTCCCGTGGCCCTGAGCTCAGGTGCCTCCTGCCGGTGCACCCTCCCCTTTCGTGGACAGGCCGCGCCCACCCACCTCACCAGCAGCCCAGCCAAGGGGGAGAGGTCCCCCCTCCCAGTCCCTCCTGCTTTCCCAGGAGCCCTCAGCGCTGACGGGAGGGGGATGATCCTAGGGGATGGTATGCACACATGTAGCAGGACCTGAGAAGGGCTGCCTGCAGTCAGTTTGCAGGTGGTTACCCTGTGTTGATATTTTTATTAACCTCCTAAGAGCTTAGTTTTGTTGCAAGAGCTGTGTTTTGGAGTCAGTTGGGTGCCAACACTGTGCTTGTTTTTTCCAAGTAAAGTCACACCACGGTTCTGGTTTGGTTGGTGAGAAAGGTTGGTACCAGCCACCTGGAGGCCTGTGAGGACTGCTCCCACCCGCCAAGGCAGGCCGTGGGTGCCCCTGCCTGGGTGGTGCTGGCGAGAGGGATGTGGTCTGTGAAGATGGACAGGCTGGGGCCACCATCATGGCACATCGGGCACTCTTGGCTCCTTCCCTTTGGAAATAAGCGCTCCTGAGACCGGCTGTGTGCCCTCTGGGCGTCCTTGGAGGCCCTGCTGTGTGGGCATCAGCTAAGCCTTATTCAGGGCCAAATCGCTGAAGGACTTGGGCCCAGACAGCCTCACGCCCTGAGAGGGCTGGCGGGTACCTCCCCACCCTGTGCCGTTTCTGGGTGGTGGCTGGGGGCTTACTCTGAGGTGGGTGAGCATTGCTGGTGGGTTGTGGTTCCAGACATGATGGTGGTGAGAAAAAACATTGCCAAGAGGAGAGGGAGCAGATGTTCCAGACGTTTCCGGCACGTTTTGTTGCAAGAGCCGTTTCTTGCAACAAAACGTCTTCCAGACGTTTCTGAGCACCACGTACTCAGAGCTCCGCAGTGCAGTGTGGGTCACTGGCTCAGATGTATTGCATGGTGGAGTGTGTGCTCTGGTTTCACCTGGGGGACCACCATGGCGGGGCCTGTCACGGAGAGGCGTCTGTGAGGAGCGGCAGGATGGGGTGGGGGGCGTGTGGGGAGAGCCTGCCCTGCGGTCAGGGGCCGGCGGGCTTGCCTGTGTCTGCCACTCACCTTGCATAGCGGCCTGGACTGGCGGCCTCTGACCATCTTGTGGGGCCAGTGGCTCAGACCAGCTTCAGGCCAGAGCTGGTGATGCCCAAGGTGACGACACGGAGCTCCAGTGTCACTGGTGGGAGAGAGCTTGACCTGGCCCAGCAGAGGTGTGGCCACCTGCCTGGTCTCCTTTGTGGTCCTTGCCCCCGCC